AAAAAAAAGAAAGAAAAAGAAAAGGCGTCTGTCCTCCTAAAAGGCTTCATGCAAGAATGATGAAGATTCGATAAAAATTAATTTAATTAAATAAAATAAAATTTTATCTAATAAGCTCTTACATTTAATTAACTATTTACATGATTGATAAGATTAAAAATAAAATAGGAAATGACCTGGTGAGGAACTCGGAGATGGGTTGGGAGCAGAGAATGGGGGAGGTGTCTCCGTTGGCTATGCGGTTGATATCGGGCAGGATGTCGTCGTAGGCGACGACGGGCAAAGTCTTCTTGAAAGTGTCGCGGTCGGTTCTCCCGTCGAGGCCGTACCTCCTCAGGTACTCGACGTCGGCATTCCTGGACAGTATCTCGGACAAGACACGCTCTTGGACCTCGTCGGCGTTCTTGGTCACGTCCTCGATGTACTCCAGTTTCTTCCGGTTGTTGTCGGCCATGGTCTGCTCGCCGGATTCTTTGGGAGCCTCAGGCATAATGTTAATTTTATTTATTATTATCTGGCAGAGAGAGAGAAAGAGAGAACAAATCATGCGTCTGTGTGTACTACGAGTGTATGTATGGGAGAGCGAGACGAATTAGGGGGGCTATATATAGAAGCGAGGAAGGGGGGTTTGCGCGCCCTGGCGCGTGCTACCCACGCCCACGCAGCGTTTGAAAGCGCGCAAAAAAGAGAAAAAAAATTTTACAGCAAAAATGGATGTGGCATGCTTTAATGACTCACTTGGACATATAACTTTCATGCTTCATATTATTTGCCTGTGACAATTCTAGCACTGTACCAACTACCCAGTACTGTCTGCTAAACAAATTTTGCCCCTTTTTATCCATTTTTCTTTAAAAAAAAAAAAAAATCTTGATCTTTAATTCGAGAATGTGATGGACCGATCCGTCTAACTGTCAGAGCGTCTCACGTAATAAATTTGTGTTAACACACATTAGACTGGCCAGTTGTATCGGTTCGATTTTAATCAATTTCCTAAAATTAGTTACATCATACTAGCATATATTAGTTGTAAATTTGTGTTTACACACACACTAGATTGTGGCCAGTTGTATAGGTTTGATTTTAATAAATTTCTTAAAATGAGTTATATCATAGTATATGCTACCATTAGTTGGTTAATTTTCCTTTCAGGCTTTCTTATACTTTTTAATAATATGCTTGAGATTTTCATTTAATTTTAATTTTTATTAAGGAAAAAAATGGAGTGATGTGATAGGTTGATTATACAGCTTGCATAATTTCGACCTTATCCTTTCATATCCCTCTTTTTGCTGTGGAAGTTTTAAAAGTGGAAGAGCCAAATTTTGAAACATTGGTGAAAGTATATGCATTTTTAGTTAGGTAATAAAATAGATGGGAAGTAAATTAAAGTTAAACATATATGTTCATTAGCCAAAATTGTGCATACATGGATATTATAATGAGCTGTAGTGGTTGGTTATTGGTTGTGTTCATTGATCCTAGACCATGCACATGAAAGTTTGTATTAATTATATTTTATTAAAAAAATAAAAGAGATTGTTCACTAAACACCATAAGACAATATAAAAAATAATAATAATAATAATAATAATAATTTATATTTTTATTGTGAAATTATGCATAATGAATAATATACAACAATATAAATAACTAACAAAGTGAGAACTATTCAAAATGGCATTACAATAAATCTTTCAAAAAATATATTTTTTAATTTTACTTTTAAAATTGTATATGCTTAAAAGAATATTATTTGTAACTCCATAAATTTGATCAGGATTTCTTAGCAAATCGAGTTTTATTGTATTGTGATTATATTTTGACCCTAGTAGGTTATAAATCGTCTGGTCACTTTTGACCAGATAAAGTTTTAACTCAAATTTAATTTAACACAATCTTTGTTAACTAATGTACACCCCGTGCGATGCACGGGAACAATATTAAATTAACAATATTATAAATAATATCTCGAGTTTGAGACACTTAGTGGCGGAAGTGGAAATTACTATTGATCCTATTTAAAAAGGAGAAGAAAAAAATAATAATTATAAATTAAAGAGGAGAATAAACAATACTTTATAATTATAAATTAAAGATTCATGGTCAAACAATGTAAAATTATTTTGTATAAGAGAATATAAAATTTGTATATTTAATATTAAGAACACCTAAAATATTATATTAGTATATGTAATAGTATTCAATTTTTTCTATATTATTTTTGAAAGATGTGAAATCACCTACAACTTTTCTAAATAATTTTAGAAGAAAAACATATCTAAAAACATTTGAATTTAACATTGTGTAAAAAAAAATTCTAGAATATTTTGTAAATAAAACATGTCTACATATATTTAAATTTAACATCAATTATGTGTATGTGTATAGGTATATATATATATAGACAAATATGTAAAAAAATGTCTAAACAATTTGTTTCAAGTATCTAAAATATTATAAGTCTAATTTAATAAAATCATACCGAATTTATGGTGTTCCATCTAAAAATATTTGATTACACACAATTTGAAAATTATTAGTTTTGATACAAAAAATAATTAAAAAAAAAATATTTTGATACCAAAAAATAGGAAAGAGAATAACCCAATAAATACCAATAAATCAGTCGATTTGTTTACACTGTTAATGAAAGACAATGACGGGTGATTATATACCCATATATTAGCGGGTGATTTTATATATACATATATTGGCGGGAAAAATTGGCAGGAATCCTTAAAAGGTTATTCTTTTAATATATAGATAGATATCACCATTACAATTAAATAATATCAATATATCAATCATTCTCACACATCACACCAAATTTAATTTATTATTCATACACGTTTTTTCTTATTGGAAATTGAAAGGTCACATTGTCACCTTAGTGTTTCTTATTGGAAATTGAAAATTTGTCCCATTTTTTTTATTTTATTTTGAAAAAAAAAACAAAATACTAAAATTCATATTTTATCATTCTTATCATTCATTATCCACCACTTTCAATTACATCTCTCATACTTTTACATCAAATCAATTTTAATAATTATATTTTAAATATAGTATTTTAATGAAACTAAAAATCCCAGTCAAACTTAACTCAAACATCTTTTCAAAATTAAGTCTTTATCCAACAAATCCAAAATAACATATATTCACATTTTATATTTATAGAGTCGGTATCTCTCATTTATTAAATTTTCAAGTATTTTAAATTAAAGATACTTAATAATTTAGAATAATAATATACACATTATATTATGTTCTAAGCCAAATTGAAGATCGTTAGACCATGAATATTTTTTGTATATCATATATAAAAAATAAAATAGAAATAGAAAATTTATAAAATTTAAAAAATAAAAGAATATTTATTTATAGTAATTAATATATGAATCATATAAGAAAAAAAAGTAGTATATGATAATTTAAGAAAAAAAACAGTAAAATAGTTTATGTTATTCTCAAGTCAAATAGTCAAAACCAAAAATGTATGTGTCAATACGAAGCAAAAACTTATGTTAGATAAACTTACCAAGTATGCGAGCATGCCACTTAGACTCAACACATTCATAAATTATATATAAGGGCGATTTAAGCTTTCTCAGCTAATTTAGTCATGATCCCTCTAAAGTATAAAAATTACACTATTCATTACATTTTATCCTGATTCATATATGCAGTTAAATAGTTTTGTATTTTTTATGTTTACTAAAATTCAAATTTTAAAAATATAATACTATTATATAACTTATAATTTTTAATATTATATGCATGCATATAATTTATAATACTTTATCTATATTTATACATATACCAAAGTATTTACTTTTTACTATCAATATATTATGGCACCAGCCATGTTAACAGATACAAAATTAAACCTTCCCTTATTTATTTTTATTTTTTTTTACTTTAACAGCTCCGTAATGTTATTCACAGCTGGCACATATAGCTGTCCTCCAAATAGGACTTGGTTGACACGTAATTCCCAACATGAAAACAAAAAATAAAGCCCTCACCAAACAGAAAAAATAAAAGTAAAAATAGAGAAGCTAAAATAAACCAAAGCATCAATAGACATCCCTCCTATATATTATTTCAAAACGTGTTGAGTTTAGATGGCAGATTCTCACGCTTCGAATGTTAATATGACGAAAATCTATACTTCGTGATTTTATTTTTATATTATTTTTGCTCTGAAGTTAAGTTTGGTGTTAGACATAAATAACTTTACACATATATTCATTAACTCAACACCCATATTGTACATATGTTTTAGTACTAGTTCTAAATAATTCAAAAGGGTGTCTTATCCCTTCCCTCCCAATATATTAATTCAAAACGTGTTGAGCCTAGGTGGCAGATTCTCACGCTTCGGATGCTGACATGACAAAAATCTATGCTTCGTGATTTTATTTTTATATTATATTTGTTCTGGAATTAGGTTTGGTATTAGACATAAATAACTTTACACATATATTCATTAACTCAACACTCATATTGTACATGAGTATTAGTACTAGTTCTAAATAATTCAAAAGGGTGCCTTATTAGAATATAAATAAATAAATGAATAAATAAATAAATACATTTACTTGATGATATATTTTCTTAAAAAAAACGAAAATAATTAATTAAATAGGTAAGGTAACTGAAAATTAAAGTAATTTAATTTAAGTAATCTTTTGGAGCACTAAAACAGCAGTTTTGCAACTCAGCTTGAGATAAATTTAGGTACTTAGTTATTATGACAAAGCGTGTATTAATGTGTTACAAACTGTTTGGTCCAAATTAAATTCTTTAATAGGAATGAGATGTCGAAAATCATATGAAATTTATCTATGTATGAGCAAACAATAGCTATTTTATTTAGCTAGCAATAAGTCCAATTTAGTTTATGTTTTCTATCCTCCTGTCAGCTAGGACCCTTTTCATTTTTTATTTTTGTATTTATTTTGTTCAGTTTCCAAATTTGTCTTTCTAAGTTTTCCTTATATTTTTCCTCTCGGTTTTCCTACGAAACCAATCGTTGACTTCACAGTGTAGTCAACTTTATATATACAATAAGCAAATTTATCATATTTTTTTATTACTTAAATAACACTAATATAATTTTATTAATATGATAGTTTATTTGTTGTATTTATAAGGTTGGTTCGACTATATAGTCAACTGTTGGCTTCACATAAAAAAAACGTTTTTTCTCTATATGACACTGTTGCAACAATTCAATGCAGGCATCTTCGCAACTAAAAAATAAATATATATATATATATATATTTATATTGTAAAATATCGTACTTTAATTTAATTAAATGTATAACATTCCTATTAATTTATTTAATTACTAATTATTATTATTATTAATAATGTAAGTAAAGTTTATCAATATTCGTCCAAAATACCTAATCCAAGAGTTTTGTCCATATTAGCTACACCAAATTAGAGTAATCATTATTAATTGAGATGCTCAAAAAAACC